TATACCTAATAAATAATTCATCCAATAACCCTAATTTTTTTCTAATTTTAAAACACATTCAATTGAAAATTTAAAATATATTTAGTTCCATTAAATTATACTCCTTCCATTTTTAATACATAGCATTTAGAGTAAAAAATTGTTTCAAATTAGATGAGGTTTTCGATTTTCAATGTAAACTTTATTAATTTTTATGTTTATACGATCATTTTTTTATTTCGTAGTCTATTTCTTATTAGTAGAGTTGTGTTTAGATTAGTAATTATTAATTTTTTTAGTAAGACATATAAAGTAAATATTTTTTAATCTATCTACACAATTATAAAATTCTATATAATAAACAACAGAGGCAATAAAATTGAATAATAGCTTCCATAAGTCTTTTTGTTTGTGGTATTATTTTTTTAATACATACTTTTTTATTAAAAAGATAGTATAAGATTTGTATATATGTTATTTATAATGAAGTCTTGAGGTTCCTAAAAGCACCATTAGTGGGTTATTTCACTAAGTACCTATCAATTAAAGTAATTTAAAAATTGAAATAATAGAAAAGAGAATGAAAATTTGTTATAATATGTTGTTCATGAAGGTATTCCAAAAATAATGATGATAGATGATTTACACATGTCAACCCTTCAATAGACTCAATTAATTTAAAATAATTAAAATATAAATACAGTATTTAATATAATATATGAGAGACGGACAACCTCTGTCTGGTGTATATGCTCTAAAAGTATCTCTAACAATAACACCAAATTTTGTAAATTATACTAAGTTTAAGATTTTGATGTCCTATCCTTAAGTCATTTGCATCATAACACCAACAAAAATATTATTTTTTTATTTTAATAAATTTGTCATTTTGATTAATAACTAATTATTTTATTGCAGTAAGGTATTATATTTTTTAATATGTATAGCCATGGTGGATATTAGATATGTTTTTGACCTCATTTAAATATTTTGAGAGAGAAATTTTCAGTGTATTGCACCTCACATTATGAGGTTAGTTTAACCATTCCATAAATCTTAAAATCTCTCTGTTTAATAAAAGGAATTCATTTATATTTTTTGCTTTAGCAATTTTAATATGTATTTATTTATGTGAAATTGTCAGAAATAACACTTTCAAGATACCACTTTTCAACTTTACACTAACCAACTTTACCATAAAAATTTTAATACTCAAAATACTATTAGAATTTAGGGTTTAGGGTTTTGGGTTTAGGATTGATAGTTTAGGGTTTATTGTTGATTTTTCAGAGTTTAGGGTTTACTTTTTAGGGTTTAGAGTTTAGGGTTTAAGGTTTAAAATTGATATTTTAGGGTTTAGGGTTGATTTTTAGGGTTTAGGGTTTACTTTTTAGGGTCTAGAGTTTAGAATTGATGTTTTAGGGTTTAGGGTTAATATTTTATTTAATATTTATTTTATGTATATATATAAAGAACAAAGATATAAAAGTCTTTTATCCTTTAATAAAATGTGTATTTTTGAAAATGTTCCTTTGTTGATGGTAAACATGAAAAGTAGTACCACCAAAGTGGTATAAATGAAATTCTCCCTTTATTTATACAAAAAGTAATTATATTCAAAACTTCAAACTCTAAAAAGGGTAATTCTTTCAAATAATTATTTTTAAATTTTTGTCACAAAAATAATCCTCAAAAAATAAAATGACCAAAATAGTCTTTTTATTTTGAAATATATAATATATTTTTTATTTATTTTTTAGAAAATTGAAAATTTTGAAACCTTAAAACCCAAAACCCTACCCCTTAACTCTAAATACTAAGTGTAGATTATTTAGCCCATGATATAAATGCATAGTTACTCTTTAATAAACACTTATTTTGGTCATTTTATTTTCTGAAAACTATTTTTATGAAAATAACCTAAAAAATATATAAGGAAATTTTTCATATGAAAGAATATAATAAATAATATATTTATTTTAATTAAAATTGTATTAGTTAATAATATTCACTTAATTAGTTGTTAAATATTGCCAAAAAGTTAGTTGTTAACTTAAAAATAAGAAAATGTTTTTAATTATAAATTTGAACTATTAACAATAATAATTAAATTATATTATTAAATGAAACATAATAAAATATATATTTAAAATATTTAGAATGATAAATAATATACATCAGTTAGTGTAATAATACTTTCATTACCAAATTTAGTAGAATAATGTTGTTTTGGTGTTTTATTGGAGCGTGTTTTGGTGTTTCATCAGATTTCCCTAAGAAAATATAAATCTAGGCAATTTTTTTTTTTTTTTTTTTTTGGTAAAAAGATTTTATCCGGGTAATTTTATTAGAGTATTTCCAACGCAATCTCAAATCTTCAAAATTTTGAGGTTTTGTGTCATTCCAACTCTAATCTCAAATTCTCAAATTTTAAGGTTGTAAATAGTGAAACTTTAAATTTATAAGTATATTATTTTATTATATATGTAATTATATTATCTTTTATTATATAATATTATAATATTATATGTTTTATAATATATTAAATATATGTTATATGTATTTGTGAAGTTTTACCATTATTAATACTTTTTGTTAATATTAAGAACTATAATATAAATAAATAAATAAATTTAAAATATATTTTTGAGGATTCATGGTTAGAGTAATCAAGTCTTAAATTCTCATTTAGAAGTTTTGTTTTCCTTAAATAAGATATTGAGTTAGAGAGATGCTATTAGTGCTTCTTGATTGAGAACCCATATCTAGTCGGTTAATCATAAGTGAAATGAAAATAAATCCTTCTCCTCACACTTTTCGTCTTTACCTCAGTCGAAGGCAATGATTACACTTCTCTAACTTTCTAGGAAACTTAACACTTTGATTTTCTTTCACTCTTTTCTTGTCCTGTTCCTTCCTGGAAAAAATGTGCATGCATATAATAATGTTTAGTTATAACCCCTTTCCTAAAATAATCTGACTTTTGTTTTTTGTGGCGGTGGTTAATCTGTTTTTTTTTTAACTTCAAATAATCTAACTTTCAAATAAATGGTTTTTAATACTTTCCCGCCACCTAAAAGATTACTAAGAGTATATTCAATATAAAACTCCACTTTTAAAAATAGAATAAAATAGAATATGAACTAAAAATGTTCTAATCATACTTTATTTCTTACTCCAAAATAGAATAATGAATAAATAAGAATAGATTATTATATTTATGGAATAAATTTTATTATAGAATAAGAAATAGAATAAAATTAGACTGTTTTCTATTTCATATTCCATTTTACTCCATTTTTTAGAATAGAGATGCACTAACTAAATTTTTGCTAGAGAGTGTTAAATACTAGTCTTTTCTTTTGTCAAGAGTTAAAGACTAGTCTTATTCATGGATAATATATGTAGAAAATCACTAGTGTTTTTTATTTTGTGAAAAGGGGATTTCTTCTGTTGAACGATTTTGTAGAATTAGTTGAATGACAATTATGTAGAATTAGTTGAAGAACAATTATCGAGAATTAGTTCAAAAAGCAATTAGGTAAAAATGATAGGAAACACAATTATACTAGTATACTTTATGCAAATTATGTACCAGTATATGCATCACGAGGTGTAGGGAAGGGAACGTCGTGTGAGTTGAAAATACTATGAAAGTTTCTCAGTCCGTATAATCAATAAAGCGATATAGAGAAACTGAGAGAGCGATAATAAATAGTCTCAACCACCAATGTAATTGGTGCAGTTGTGGGTGAAAGGTACTTCCCTATCCAAAATAAGAAGCTTATAACAAGAGACATACCCTGCTTATATGATGTAATATTCCATCTTTTAAACCATATGTAAGCATATATATGCATGTAAAGCATGTCATCATTGATTCATCCATATGTAGTACAGTGTGTGTGTTTGAATGAAGATGGATGATGATGACGATGTGTTTGTTGATGATAATGAACTAACTCTCATGAATTCACTTCATTTATTGCTTACATTGCATTTACGTTATCGAAGAGCGTGCTCTTATTTTGACAGTGAAATTCCTTCTGCCAACTCTCTCTTTCTATCTATCTCTATCTCTCTCTCTCTCTCTTTTTTATTTTTTAATATTTTCTTGAAACATTCAGTTTAGCTCATTGAATTCCATAGAATCATGTTGTAACACATTGACATATCAAATTAACTAATGTTTTATTAAAGAAAAGTAAATGCAAACGAAAAATAATCCGAATTACTCAAGTTTTTTTGTCAACGAATTTAAGTTAAACTCTAAATATTATAACTATAATTTGGATCTGAAACCATATTTTACACCTCATTCAAAATCTCGAGGAGAAAGTGCATCCATGGTATGCATCTGTCTTTTGAGATTAGTATATTTTTTTATGGATTTGGGATACCTCCAAAATTTTATATATATATACGAATGTGGAAATGTAATATATATATACCACATACATATGTTTAATTATAGTAATTCAAGTTCATATAATACTTATACTTCTTATTATTTTGTTGTATATAAAAATGATATTTTAAAGTTAGGATATAATTAATATCAATTTACATCTCGTTATATTTCTGTATTTCAGGATGTATATATAAACAAAAACGTTGACTACGAAGCGAAATATACGAATAGTTGTCCAGTGTATACATTTAAAAAGCGTGATACGCAAGTCATGAACTATCGAAAGTCAATACCTTTTTTTTGTTGAACTGAAAATCGATACATATTGGTACGTGTATGACACACAAACTGCTAACTATGGTACGTCGAGCCAATTAAGATTTCAATAAATGCACTTAATATAAACAGTGTAAGGTAAGGTGTAAACAGCGAATAACATATGACAGACTGAATATAAAACTCGGATCGTAGAGGGGACCATGCATGTTCCAGACCCAATATTTCTTACCATTAACTTCCGGGAAAATTTTTTTTAACAAAAAACTATAATAGATGTTTTCATGAAATTAGGGTAAAAGTACAAACAAAAACTAATGATGCCCTAATGAAAATGAAATCTCTGCAAGTGTTTTTAGCTAGGGGCCACGTAGACATGAGTTACAAAGCTCTCTTAGTCTTAGCCCTCCTGCCTCTTCAACAGCACTTTACGACAATGACAGAGATCGTGATGCGTAATTTAAGATCCTCTGTTTCTCACTGCATGCTCGTCACCGTACGCAGTCATAGGTGATTAAGAAATCAAAGGGCCTAGTGTATACTAAGACCACACGGTTCCATTCATGTTGTTGCTTGTGTATATATATACACTGCATATGCATGTATACTATCAATAACAACATATTTCAAATGTTAAAAAAAAAAACATATTTCAAAATGACATTCACAGTCTATAATTCGTTTAAAAACATGTTTATTGTAAAGTTCTTAGGGTAGGAGTTCTTAACGGAATTAAGAACTCTCATATGATATTCACAATCTATAACGAAAACGCAGTACCGGCCCTGAGGGGAAGCATTACAAGCATCCGCTTCCGGCCCTCAAAAAATATTTGCAAAAATCAGCCTTTTTCAGAAGAAAATTATTATTATGGTATATGAACGGTTTTATAAAAATGGCCAATTTTTAGAAAATTGCTTCTGGTCTTTCCCATGTCAGGACCGGTACTGCGAAAACGGTTTTTTAATTCTGTTGCCCTCACTTTAAGAATCAATAAACATGCTCTTGAGTGACTGATAAAGTTCTACAAATATCTTGCTAAAGATCACTATAACATTTGATAGTCATGATCACGCATGTATGTATTGCATTACTCCACATTATAAATGTAACTACTCAGACAAAAAGGAGTCGAAATTGTGGATAAAACCTGGTTTATGTAGGATCAATTTGTTTGGTTAACGCAACTCCCTAAAAGATCTTTTATGGAAAAAAAACTCCCTAAAAGATTTCAAAACTTCAATTAACAGTCTGATTTTTTTTCCAAATAATAGTTATTTAACTGGTTTATACAAGTTTGATTGTTCATGGTATTTCTTTGCACGTATTGTTTATTGTCATGAATCCAAGAAATCATGGGCGTCTATACAAACAACTATATATATATATATACATAGGGATGGGCACGGATCGGATATCCGGAGTTTTCAAGGTTTTGTGATTTGCTTCGAATGTTACGGAAATCTAATTTTGGTATTTGCTTTGCTTCAAAAAATTACGGATATCCCAAAAATGGATATTTGCGGATAATTACGATTTTTACAGATATCTCATCCATTTTGATTAATAAAAATAATCTTAAAACTTTGATACAAATTTGCTTTGCAAAAATATTTTTTTGCATGATATATAAAATAAAAATTAAAAGAACTAGTGAATTTACCTATTTTGTAATTTTTCAGTTTAAGTTAAAATTATAATTACATAATTTTTAAAAAAAAATATATAATTGTAATAAATGTTTTTCTCTCTTTTTTATGTAATACCTTTATATAAGTAATAATGTAAATAGAATTATTCAAAATTATGTGCTAGAATAATAATTATATAAATTTATACATTTAAAAATTTAAATATAATTAAGATATACATATATTTATATATTTCTGGATCGGATCGAATATCCGCTTCCCAAAATTTTAATATTTGTATTTAATTCGATTTTAATAAATACTGATTTTTAGTATTTGCTTTGATTCGAAAGTTTACGGATATCGAGAATTTTCTGATCGAATCGAAACGAATAACGAATCAAATCAAATTTAACGGATAAAATGCTCAGCCCTATATATATATAGCCTAGCAACTTTTTGATCTGATTTCTACATTTTAATTTTATATGAACAAATTCTAATCGACCGTATCTTTAGACTTTAGGCCGTTTCCCATTGAACTTTTAGCTCCTATGAAAATTGAATAATTCGTCAAATTTATTTATAATCTTTAATTTTATAAATCAAATGGCTATAACGTAGAAGAATGAGATTGTATGCAAGTTGGATATTGTTCCTTTTCAACTGAAAAAGTCATATTCATTAACCAACAACATATACTGAAACAAAGCCCTTCAAACTTTAACGAAAAAACATAAATGGTTGCTATAGTGTATATGCTTAAATTCGTAAGGGGGATGCAATACTTAACATCTGCCTAACTGTATCAGTCACACTTTTTTTTTTTTTCAACTGAAGAGTTTCTACACACTATTTGATAGATAATAATCTATTGAAAATATCAGCGATATACACACATACATATATATATATATAAATATAAGCTATACTGTATATATATATATATATACAAGCCATAGTATATCTATTGTCTATTGATATGTTTCTTTTACATTTTGTACAAAACAACAGTTTTCACTTAGTGAATCCTTCGTTAATTTTTCACAATGGTTGTTACTAATCATTATATATATAGTGTTGATCTTTATCCATTCATTTTTTATGTCGAAGATCTGTGATTAAGCCTGCAAAACAAAACTCTTCTTTAACGTAGTAAAAAGTTTAAGCTAGAAAAACTGATTGTTATTGGTTTAAAAAAAAAACTGATTGTTATCATGACCATATATTGAGACACGATCAAACTTAAACAGTGGAGAAATAACTGCCCTAACGAATTAAACAGTATTCATCACTTTTATCATTCATACTCTGAAAAAAAAAGGTTGAAAAAGCGTCCATTCCTACGATAATTTTTTTTTTTTTAAATGTGTTTGTATGGGCAAATATCTTTCATACGTATACACAGATTCATAACACTTAAAGCTGGTGAAGTAATAATTAGAAGAGGCAGAGCCATTGAAAAAAGAAAGAATTGAGTTTGTTTTTCGTCTAAGTAAATACCGATGATGCCCTCACCTTTCTAATTTCCTCATTTGTCCCTTTCCTTTTTCATGTTTATTTCTAACTTCTCTGTCTCTTTCAATCCTTCTCCACCAGATATTCTCTGATTCGATCCTCCCCACAATATTTTAAAATAAACATTTATTTGGTTTTTTGTTATTATTCGTATACAGAACATAACAATTCTAACAAATATTAGTTATAAAATTCTAACTTCACACCTTAAGCTTTAAGCTTAGCATGCTTACAACTAAGTAACACTGATGATCATCTAAATGTTAAATAAAAAAAATAGCATTTTCTCTTTATATATATATATATATATATATATATATAATCTATTAATTTAGGGATTATTTTTTATCTACTACTTAAAGTTGTCATTTAAATTTGGACTTTTTCATAATTATTACTAGAATATATCATGTCTCCTATAAAATACAGTCTACCAACTTAAATTAAATCAAGTCTTAACCGATGTAAATCAATTGAATTTAAATAATTACATTTTTAAAATATTTTTGGTTATCTCTTAATATAAATAGATTGTACAAAACTGAACCATAAAAAAAAAAAGAGTCCAACTCATTTATAACGTGTTTTCAATATAAAGATTAATAAGAGGTTCAACATATTATATATATGTCAAATATATATATTACACAAAATATATATAATATTATATACGTTGTTCAAAAAAAATATAATATTATATACACATATTATATATAACATATATTAAAATTAAATTTTAACAAAATAATTTCTGCCCATTAAGGCGGGTTAGAATCTAGAATATATTAAATTTTTACATAAGAATTCCTTTCTAAATATAACATTTCTTCGAACATTAATTAATCGTGAATATTTTATGTTAGCCAGCACATTTGTATCACACTATTCTTGTATATACAAATTTCATTGGTCATATACATTTGAAAGTGATAAAAAATTATTTGGCCACGAAGTTTTCATATTAATACTTGAATAACTGATTTTAATGTGTGATATCAAATCTACATGCATAAAAGAATAATATTGAATAACTGATTTTTCCGAATTTTGCAAAGTTTTTTATTGGGTCCCCAACTGTGTGTGTATATATAACTCAACACCTTACACACTATTTTCTATATCTCCCCTACATACAAAACCTAAAATCTCTTTCCCTTAAGTTCTTTTCTTGGAAAAGTAAAAGTTCCTTCTCTTATACATCTTCTTCTTCCGATATATTTTTCATCTTGAAATGGAGCAACCACAACATCATCACCATCATCTCCAACAAACCGACCAAGAAAGCGGCAACAATAACAAGTCCGGCTCCGGTGGTTATACGTGTCGTCAGACAAGCACTAGATGGACACCAACAACGGAGCAAATCAGAATCCTCAAAGATCTGTACTACAATAGCGGAGTTCGGTCACCAACAGCCGACCAGATCCAGAAGATCTCTGCACGGCTGAGGCAGTACGGAAAGATCGAGGGTAAGAACGTCTTCTACTGGTTCCAGAACCATAAGGCTCGTGAGCGACAAAAGAAGAGATTCAACGGCACAACCATGACCACACCAACATCTTCATCCCCCAACTCGGTTATGATGGCTAACGACCATTATCATCATAACCATCATCCTCTTCTTCAGCATCATCATCATGGTGTTACCTTGCATAGGCCTGCTTCGGTCAATATTAAGCTTGACCAAGAAAATCATCTCCTTCACCAAAACAGATCATATCCCACCTTCCATAACGGTGACTAGTTTCTTATCTATGTCTTTTTTTTTTACTTTGGTAAAATTATTTTTAATTAGTTTACACTACTAGACACTACTAGAAACCATATATACAACTAGTTATTACATGAATAAGCAAATAAAGTGTAAGAGCCCAGGAAGATTTACATTTTACATATGAGTTTGATACACATGTATATGTAATTAGGTTTGTATAAATTTCTTACAAGATTCTTGAAATGTTGTTTTCAATGAATTTATCCAGATGATTTTTTTCAAGTGTTAATTTTACGTTACTAGGATCAATTTAAACTTACATGTAGGTAGCAAAAAAAAAAAAAGAATGAAAAACTAAACCAAAATGATCATGTATATATGATTCTGATAGATATATGTATATGTAGTGACGTTTGTTCAAAAAAAAAAAGTATATGTAATGACGTATGTGTGAAGTTATGGATCTTGATTGGGGCAAACCAGATTTGATCTGGAGAACGGTTCTTTGTTGTGTATGGAAACTAGCTTCACGTGTTGCGATTATAACAAATTAGGGATATGGGTTAGTAGAAATAGCTTATTTTATGTATTTCAATTTCTATACATATATATATATATATATATTAACCCCTATATATCTGTTTGAAGGGAATTTAAATCATGCAAGTTCAGGCACTGAATGTGGTGCTTTCAATGCTTCTAATGGCTACATGAGTAGCCATCTCTATGGATCTATGGTACGTTTGAAACTCTTCAAGTCATTTTATTCAAACAATATCCTACATATCTCTGTATATAAAAATTGTATTTACATTTAATGAAACTGGATTTTTTTGGTGAAGGAACAAGATTATTCAATGAGCTACAACAACGGAGGTGGAGGATGGACAAGCATGGATCAAAACCATCACTACTCAGCTCCAGCTTACAACTTCTTTGATAGACCCAAGCCTCTCTCTGGACTGGAAGATCATGAAGAAGGAGAATATGGTGGTGATGCTTATCTGGAACATAGACGGACACTTTCTCTCTTCCCTATGCACGGTGAGGATCACATCAACGGAGGTGGTGGTGGCTTTCTGAAGTATGGACAATCGGACGGTCGTGATTATTACGGTAGAGGCCCTTGTGCTTCACTTACGCTATGTCTAAACTCCTACGCAGGCGTCCCACCGGATTAAAGCTCTCTTTCGCCATCTCTCTCTCGTATCTTTCGCTAGTGACTAATGATGCCATTAATCATAATAATAGTATCTCTCGTACGTAGTTTAATGATTTGTAATTTACTATCGTCTCGATTTAGCTTTCATTGAGTGCGTTTTTCTCCTTTCTTTCAATGTAAGACGTTGAACTTTTATTACCATGAACCCGGAGTCTATTTCAATAGGGTTTACATATAAGGTTTTCAAAAAGATCCGGAGGCATGAAACAATTGGCAGAGATGTATTCCAAGAATCTCATACATTAATTATATGATTTTAGGGCTTTGCTAGTTATGTAATTCGACACTTAATAGGGCTTGCTCTCTAAGTCAAATCATTGCATCTTATAGTCCTAATAAATACAAGTGGATCGTTTTGTTATATGAAAATAACAGCATTTTACTTGTTTCATCCCGCTTGTTCTCACATGTAGTGAAAACAATGTACATATGTAAATTTGATTTAGACTTTTAAATTTATACTATATAGAAACGAAGGTACTGTGGACATAAAACATAAGAAAATCGGATAAAATAATTGATAACTAGATTTTAACCGTACGTCCGTGCGGATATATTTATATATTTAAAATAACTTTTAAAATATAAAATAAATAATAATGATATATTAGATCTTGACTCGCGCAACAGCGCGGATGTTCTTTTCAGTTTTATATACATATATATTTATTTTAGTTCATTAGTGGTATAAAATTTTAACGTTAACCATATATTTAAATGTTGATATACATATTTCAAATATAATAATTTCATAGTTTACATGGTATAATTAATCAATAGTTTAAAACCATCACATGTATTTGTGGTTTTTATTATATACTTATATTACTGTATTTTTATTTAGTTATTTAACAAATTAATATATGCATGAAAAACATATTTGAAAATTATTTTGTACCAAATTTATATTTAATTCTGACCCGCCAACCTTCAACGTCGTATTTCCTTTTAACAATATTTTTTAATGTTTATTCATTTAAAAATATACTCTTTGTAAATATAAAAGTTTAAGATATGTCAACTTTTATACATGTATCATATAGTTTGCGAATGTTAAGTCGTTTTGTAACCGTATCATATTTTTAACATAAATATTTTATATTTATGAAAATAAAAATATAAACTTATCAATTAAATATAATTTATCATATTGAATTTAATATAATAATTTTATTTTAACATGAATTCTTATTATTATAAAATAAATAAAAATAAGATATAATTTTTATGTTTCATTTTATAAATGATAATTAAATATATATTAATGCATAATAATAATTCATTAGACTTCCTGAAAGTTAAGATATTGTTAAAATATTTCTCAACAGATTTGTTAGAATTAAATATTTTATATTAAATAAAAAGATATCATGATTAAAATAGTTACAAATAGTTTATATTATTAGCTTTAATGAAATACATGTTAATTTTTATACATGTATTATGTATTATATAGTTTGCGAATGTTACCCTTGTATTAATAGCGTCAAGCTCATAGTATACTTAATCATGATAGTTTTGATATTGTTTGCAAATTTTATTAAATGTTTTGTTTAGAGAATATTATCCTCGAAATGTTGTATGTGAATATATTAAATTATTTTATATTATATTTTATAAATATTATAGAATAATATATTATATTTCAGTTAAATGTTCTTATTTTTACTACAAAAATCAAACATAAAATGTTACAACTAATAAAATATTATTTATTTTTTATATTAAACAATAATGTGATAATTTTAAAAAACATTGGGATACACTATTTAGTTTCAAAATTAATTACTGATATATATATATATATATGTATTATAATATGGTCTAAATTAAATATGATAAACAACCAAACGATAGTTGTCCAGTGGAAATATATTTGTCCTTTTTAAGAATATTATTGTTTAGATGTATATTGTTTTGTTACAAAAATATCATATATGAATAAATTTAGAATATTTAATTAAGTTTCTAATGAATAGTCTAACATAGACTTTTATATGGTAGATAAATTAATAATAGAACCCTAATCTATCAAATATAACGTTTGATGAGTTGGTGTACCATGTGCCGATATAACGTATGAAGAAAATAATAACGTTAGTTTAGTCTAAATTATGTAAGGTAGATATAATGAATGTAATATGAATGTAATACAAAGGTCAAAATTTGTATTGTTAAACTGATATGAATGTATGAATCGTGTAATGGATTGTTGGTTTGGTGTTTGATTGAAGGTATATAACTAAGGTATTTTTTATTTTGATGTTGGTTTAAATTAAGTTATGTAGGATATATTAAAGGAACCAAAAACTTCTATTCTACGAACCAAACACTACTATTCTAGAGAAGGTCCAAAACTAAATGACAACCTTTTACAGTAGATAAATTTTAGGACCCTAAATTAAAAGAGTAGATACAAATTTTAATATTATAGGATCCTTGAAATTAAAATGGTGTACTTGTGTCAGTTTGTATTTAATTGTACCTATATGTCGATGATTAGATGAGGCTTTTGGATCTCTTATGCCCTTGAATTGTTCGAAAATGTTTGTCAAGCATACTATTTTCCTTATGTTTTTGTCCTTGTATGAAAAACGGCAAGTTAATGATGTTAATCAATGATTTGTCGCCAAACTGTCTCATTTTGATTCAGTTCACAACTTCATCGACCATACATGATCACTGTTTCACTTCAGTTCTCTAATGGAATACTCGGGGCCTCACGGGTTTTGAGTGAATGTAAATTATACTATATTCCTCAGAACATAGGATTTTGCAATCTCGAGTCGCGTGAATTAAGATGACAAAGGATAATGATTTCGGTTATTACTTGTTGTCATAAATCTTGTTTAAATAATCTGGCTCGGCTTTTGCAGTTTTAAAGAAAAACAATAGCTTATGTGTACAACTCCCTCTATTTCATATTAGATTATGTTTTACATCAATGTACATATATTAAAAAATCTATTTATAAAATATAATAATTTTCAGTAATTAATTTTAAATAAAATAGTAAAAATATGATCGATTACATAGTTTTCTCTTTTATTACTGGAAAGTATAAAAGAGAAAATAAAGTTAGGTTTGAGATGGTTTAACTAGAGGGTTAACGTTTCGCACATAATGATATATTTATTTGTCTTTATTTTTTTTCTTTTTATAATGTGTATTAGGTTTATTTAATTTTTGGTTATACTCACAAGTTAAACCAAAAAGTATTACTAGTACTTTCAAATGATTACATTAGGGACTATTATTGTATTCCGACGATATATAAACACACCACGGTTTCCTTGTATTAATTTCTAATTTTCTAAAGCCAACTCAAATGGGACATCAAAACATCAAATTTGGTTTGATTTTATCTCTAATGAAACACCAAAAATTATACAATTCCACCAAATTTGGTGTAAAGTGAATAATATTACACCAGATTTGGTGTAACATTATATATTTATCACACTAAATATTGAATATGCATATTTTATTATGTTTCATTCAATAATATAATTTAATTATTATTATTAATTAGTTCAAATTTGTAGCTATATTTTAAATATACAATATTATTTGTATTCTTCATTATTTTTACATAATTATAATGTTTTATTTTATTTTCAAGTAAAAATCACTAAATGATTGTTAGCATTTACTTTATATTGTAATATATTTTTATTTTAAAATATCAGTTATAATATTTATTTAAGTTATATATAATCAGTAATTAATAATTTATTATATTACATTGTGAATTTATATTAATAGTAAATAATTAAACTTTATATAGTACTTTCAAATTAATCAAAAACTAAAATAATTATTTTAGTTTTTATTTTATAATATAAATAAACTTGTTTTACTAGTTAATAAAAATTTATTAGATAACTTATTCTGTTATGTGCTTTTCATAATTAATAGTTTATAATTTTTAATATAATATTATATAGAAAATACAAATGTATAAATTTATTAACTTAAATTACAAAAAATTTATAATTATAATATATTATAATATCTAAGTATAATAAAACATTTATTTATCAATTAAAAATAAATTATAAAATTTATTAAAAGTAAAAATATTAAATAATATATAATATTATTTTTAGTGTAATGTTTGGTGTCATGGTTGGAGATGACTAGAAAGTTTTTACACCAAAACATTAAATTTGGTGTAATTTCAACACTAAATTTGGTGTCATGGTTGGAGATGCCCTAATCCTTACAGAGATTCAATAACTTTTGGATGAATAATACCAAGCTTTAGCTTTATAGTTTAAAACCGACTCTGATTATTTATCGTTATGACATCAATTACTATTATTATTTTAATTGTTTTTAGTAAGCTTAAACCAAATCCTTATAAAAAGAAAACAGATTATATCAATGAGATTTCAAATCGAATAGGCTTTTAAATTCTTCAAACATCTCAATTGCACATCCACATCTTCACCAAATAATCATTTTCATTTTGAACCGGAAGATGTAGAGAAAGAGAGAATGAATCAAGCTAATAAAGACCAACTATTTTGTATATTTATAAGTATATTTGAAGATATGTGTTCCATTCATAGACACTGACATGTAGTTATGCGTGTCTGAGGAATTGCTGATTACTTGTAATGTATACGAGCTAATTGATCTGCGGATCCGATAAGATCTTTAAATGCTTTTAGAGATTCAAAGTACGTTATTTCTATAAGAAGCAAAGATGTGAGGCTTGTGTAGCATCATGGTCTGTGATTCCCTTTATGTGAAATTCTCCCTAAGAGACTTCTTTGGATCAGTTTGGTCAATTTCCTATTTTTAGTTGGATGAAATGTTATGATGCGCAGAAATCTAAACTTAATATCCGTTACATATGTGAATAAACCGGCGAACTACATTATAATACTTAAAAAATCATACATTATCAAAATCAAGCAAATATAAAAATCACTTTTGTTTAATCTGAATATA